ATCGGATCCACCTCGACTGCCTTCTTCATCATCGTCTTCGTCATCAAAGGAGGCAAGCTGTCTGGCTTCAGCCTCAAGCACCTTGGCTCGGGCTATCTCCTCGGAGAGGTCAAAACCTCGAGTATGGATTTCCTCGAGTGTTTCCCTCCGGGATTGACACTTTGCCGAGTCAATGATCCATTGCTCTTGGTCAGAAGCCTCCCTTAGCTGCATTTGAGCAGCCTCAGCATCGGGCCGGTACATGGCAATGGACTTGTCCGCCATGACTTTTGTCTTCTCGATCTCCGCCTTGGCCTCAGCAAGCCCTGTTTTGAGCTCCTCGATCCTCTTGGCTTGGGCCGAACTTTTCTCTTTGACGCCCCGAAGTTGAACCTCGGCCGATGACAGTTTGGCAAAGGTAGTTTCTTTTTCTACAGCTAGGCGGTCCATATTCTCCTTCCACCGATCACAATCGGCCTTGGCCTAATCGACTTCTCCCCGAAGCAACTCGATCCTTTCAACCTTTTGCTATAACTGAGATAATAAAGTATTAGCCTCTACAGTTGGATCGAGTCCATACTTTATCAAAAGGATACTCACCTGCTTATCTAGCTCGGCCTCTTCCTCACGAGCCTTGGCCAAATACGCTTGAAGATCCTTTATAGTTTCGTCTTTTTGGCCGCAAAGAAGCTTCAGAGCGTTCCTCTCCTCCGAGACCTTTGGGAGCTCGGTTTCACACTGGCTGAGGTCAGCTCGAAATTTGGAGGAGGCCTACACAAAAAGGGAAAACACAAGTCAGATTTAGAAAAGAAAAAAAAAGAGTAAAGAAAAGAAGTACAGTAAACAGATTCTTACCCGAGATAAGAGACGTTGGGCCTCTTCTAAAAGAATAGAAGCGTCACTGATATCAGAGGCATCATCGACTACAGTAAAGCAATCCCGAAAGGGATCCCCTACACTAGAGCCTCCATCAATATCATGGGTCTTCAACTCTCGAGCTTCCCTTAGTGCCTCCTCGGAAAAAGTCGGAAGAGAAGGCAAGTGACATGCTGCCATGGTCCCGAGCAAGTCGCTCGAAACGCTCTGATCGATCTTCGGGGTCTCAAAATCGGCCCCGTCCGGTGTAGCTGCAGATGACTGAGAAACTATCTCAACCTCTGGTAATTCGGGACCCTCACCCGATTTCTTTTTGGAAGCCTCCTCAACACGAGGCTTGATTTTAGCAGCCGTCGTAGGATCAGAAGGTTTGGTGACCTCGACGGCTTTCCTAGGTTAGACCATCAGTGCCGAGGCATTTTCCTCTTCTTCCTCTTCTTCGTCTCTCAGTTTTTGGATCGAGTCCATCATGAGAGCGATTACTTTCCTCCTCACCCTTCGAAGTTTGGACTTGGGATCCTCGGACTGCGAGGCAGTTTTCCTCTTCTTGTCTTCCCCCCGGCTTGGGAATCGGGGACTTGGTTTCTTCCTCGCCACTTGGAGGCCTCAAAATGGCATCCTTGGTCAGGCCTGCATGAAAGAAAATTAGTGATAAATAGAGTATAAAAAGTGTTTCAGAACATGAAAAGGGAGATCTTTACGGTGGTTCTTGGCCTCCCATCCGCCCTTTGCCAAATCACGCCATGCGCGTTCGGCATAAGTGGAAGTTGAGGCTAACTTCCGAACCCAATCTTCAAGGTCGGGTACTGCTTGATGCATCTAAGGAATAGCTGCATGTTGAAAGGGGATATCAGGCAAAATCGAGGAAGGTACGAAGAACAAATTTTAGAAGATCACTTACGGTCAAAGTTCCATTCCTCAGGGAATGACATCTTCTCTTCCGGGGTCCTCACCCGTATAAAACCGCTCATCCAACCCCGATCCTTGTCCTCGTCGATGCTCGAGATCAAGGCTTTCATTTCCCGGCGTTGGAGCCTGATTAGTCCTCGATAGATTCGGGGCCGGTACAACCGCATGAGGTGATTTAGAGTAAACTCTAGCCCCTCAGCCTTGCTAGAGAAGAAGCGCAACACGATTACTATGCGCCATAGAGAGGGGTGGATTTGGCCGAGGATGACCTGATATCTTTTACAGATATCAATAATCACTGGGTTGAGGGGACCCAATGTAAAGGGGTAAGTGTAAACACTTAGAAACCCCTCCACATAAGCGGTGATGCTCTCTTCGGGAGCAGGAATTTGCACCACGACCTCGGGACCCCAGTTGCAATACCTCTTCATGGCCTCGAGGTGGCTCTTCGTTATCGAACACATGTACATTGACACATGCTCACATCGGCCCGGGATCGATGAAGGGTTTTTGACCTTGAAGTCGGATTTTAGAGTACATGGGTCAGGTACATACTCGTGGGGAAGCGGCTCCGCCGGCATCTTGCCGCCGGACGGCCGGGAAGAGGAGCAAGAAGCTTTCTCCTTCTGCGGTATGGTATTTGAGGTTTTCGCCATTTGTATAAGTAAAGAAGAGCGAAGAAAGATGAAAAACTGGTGGTTTCAGCGCTAAAGGAGGTGGCTCTACAGACGACGAAAAGGAGAAGATGAAAAGAGTGAGAAGACTTTGAGGTTTGATTAGAGCAAAAGTAAAGTTTGATTCAATGATAGAACGGGTATTTATAGGCTCACGACGACGGTTCGGTGGCGCTAGTGGCCGACCGCTAATTGACAGGCATTAATGATTTGGGGAACTGAACCGACGGGACGTTTCGATCACATCCGTCACTTACGTCATGAGAACGACGTCATGATCGAGGTTTTGAAATATCAAGGCTCAAACCGTTTCTTATCATTTTATTCCAAGAAACGCGGGGACTATCTGTATACGGTCGAAATCGGACATGTCAGATATCATAGGCACGAGAAGCCGCCCCGAGAGTAAGCTCGTAATAAACCAGGCTCGAGCTCAATGGCAAAGTATGGAGCACGAAGATCGAAGTGCTCGCTGAAGATCGAGACCGAACATGACCAACTTCGAGTAAGGCATAATAACGGAATGGCGAGATATTAACAACCAACCGAAGATCTCGGTGGAAATCTCGGAACAGATCAAATAAAGCGGTTATTGACGTCAATCATGGGAATTGTTTTCGTGAGTAGAATTGTATCTTATTTAGGATTTCTCTACTATATAAAGAGGGACCCTATTCATTTGTAAGGGGCATTGATTCACTGATAAAGATATATAAAAACGTTGCTCTCTATTTTACTTACTATCCATTACTGTTCATTATTGTTTATCTTCTACTATTTACTGTTCTTCTTACCCAACCTCGAGATCATCTCGAATCGAAATCGAAAGCGCTGCTAGAACACTGGTTTGATTTATTTTACTATTCAGATTATTTATTCAATTCCTTGTTTTTCAATTGGTATTGGATTAAATCACGTATTATTAAAATCACTAAATAAGTTTAATTGTTACTCGAATTTCTGGTTAAACACTGTGATTGTGAAGCTATGGGAGAAGAAATGAGAGGATAGATATAACAACGACAACGAGGAAGCATATAAAGCTATCTCTAGTCTTCTCCTTGCAACTCTTCCAACGTTTTGAAATAAGACAAGATGGGGCGATGTGGTAGACGACGACTTCTTGAAATAGATCTGAGTCACATTTCTGTGTATTATTGAGTGGGGAGCTGTTTCATGGGTTTGCATTAGAGATTGTGTGTCCCTTCAAATTTTTATGGGGCAGCGACAGTAATTTCAATATTTGGGAGCACCGACTGGAATTAATGTTTGCCGATGGGGCATTTCTGTCCTTCCCCATAAGAGAAAGGGGGCAAAATTGATCCAAAAACATTATAACCCGCCCAAACCACCGATAACCTTAATGAAGAATTAACTTGAATACCCGCTCACCTAGTCGTAACCAAAAATCACGGATGAATGTATAATATGTATAATAAATGTATATCAACTATACAAATTCAACCGGCTATTCACATAAAGATCCCATATTATAGGGTTATGATCAACCCATTTTAATCAGCCCAATTTAGCCCAACTCCCTATTTGACACCCTATTGATATAGTCCTCTCAGTTTATTCTGCAGCAATATACATTACACGGATTTCTGAGGATTTACCAACACTAAGAAGCCTAAAAATGGAAATCAGCCTGAGGACATTCTTGGTTGGTGTTGGGCTGAAATGTACAAGGTGCTGGTGCCTACTTTTGCTTCAAGTCAGCCTAGTCGATATATGATCTGGTTCATTACTGGTGCCTACTTTTGCTTCAAGTCAGCCTAGTTTATCCTTCCTATGGCGGTTATTGGTAGGTAAGAGAACATGACAATTGTTTCCTTGTTAACTATTCTTCTTCTTTCCCAAGTAAATTTTACTGAAAGAGGATATTTTGCATGACCTAAAGAGGATCCTCTTGGAAATGGAATATATACTCTTTAAAGCATTGTTCTTGCTCAAATGTAATTAATATGAAGGTTCTTTTGTTTCTTCTTTTGTCGGGGAGGGGTTTAGATTTTCAGTTATGATACATTCTTCGGATAGCTCGGAGACCATTTAAGGGGACCTTTGACTTGTGCTAAGACCAAGATCATTTGCGGATTGCAAATCAATGATATGTATGATTAGAAGATGTTTGGAGAGCCATATTGAAGATTCTCGCAAAGAATACAGTGTTTGGGAGCTCAAGGACTTGGTTGGAGACATGGAGAACTGGGTGCGCGAAATTCAGTACCAGCGTGCTATTCTGGCATTGCACACATTGCTTTGGCTGCTTGAGTTTAGACGGAGGGCGGGACACCGAGGCACGAGGATCAAAGTCCTCCCAAAGTGCAAGTCTATGTGAGGCACTGAGCCGGAATGGACGATAGAGAGGCTTTTAGTTTGGACCATTTCGTCTTTTCTTAGACTTAGTATTAGCTACTAATATAAGATATTGGTGAGACTCGTTTTCGTGGGAGATTAGCATATTCTGAAGATTGATAAGCGTCACTGTAAGATCAGAAATTTTATTATTCAGGTTAAACTTCAGGTATTACTTTCAAGTTGCTTTCTTGATGGTACTACTTTCTTCTTTTCAAACCTTTATATCTTTGGTTCGTTCTTGTGCTTCTTTTGGTATGGTTCGTTTATGTACTGTTGTTACCATATACGCTCAGTCATTTGAGATTCTTTCTATTCGACAATATCTGCTAGAATTCTATCGTGTTATTTTCGTTAAGTATTGGAATTATTTCGCTTGTGTGCATCCCAAATCTTATCAAATTGCTTGGAGGCTGTGGTGTATGAAATAATTGATAGACCATGTATCGGATTGTAGATGCTGATGAATTGATAATCTTTTCCTCCAGCTAAATGTACAGTTGTTCAAATTCCTCCATAAGCAGCAAAGAAAGATTTGATAGCTGATTTCCTTGTTAAAAGATAAGCCAGCATTACTTTAGCCAGTTGGAATGAGTTTTACTTTTTCCCCTTTTTCTCTTCCACCAGTAAAAATGTATATATTTGAATATTAATTAGCCTTAACATCAACATTCTTCTTGCAAATTCATGTCTGCTGCTGCTCTGTCTATATTTGCTTATGCCTAGTGTATTTTGATGCCTACCTTGCTGTCTTTTTGCCAATATATTCCTTTTCTGGAGGAGTGGTGAGTTCATGCACTGAGAAGTAGGACTGTCAGTAGTTTGGCTCGATTTGGTCTTTTCATGAAATTTATACTATACCAACTCTTCGATTAATCTCCGGTGTACAACCAAAAATAGACTTTTTTGAAACATCCTAATCATCTCAGTATCTCTTCAATATCGGTTCGGTGCAGTTTATTTTCTGTAGTTTATTCTTAAAAACATCACGTGGGAATCGCAATGCTGCTAGATGCCTTAATATTTATGTAGAGAATGGAATATCACCTGCATCCAATCCCCACTCTGAGTAGAAGAATCTGCGTCTTGCTTACTTCTTATATTAAAGATCTTTCTATTTGGAAAAAGCAGATTGGACTAGTGTGCAACTAAATGCCATCACAAGAGGCAAGCACTTCCTCAGCATCTGTACATTTATTATTTACAAAGTACAGATGCTGTTTTCATTACCAGAAGGGTCAAATTCATATTGAGACTTTATTCTTTGGATATGGAAAGCTTCTACCTTTATCGATGATTCCCCCTTTATCTTGCTGATGATTTCCATTCCCATAGAAAGTTCTCGCAGGGCAATTGCTTTTTAGCACTATATGAGAACTTCAGTCAGACAAATTTAGTAAATTATCATGTTAGAATCTCTGTCACTGAGGTGATCCCAGTTGGAATTCATCTTTTACTCAAGTTGATCTAATGGTGATATCACAATCAGACACTTGTACGTGCATGGGCCTTTGTCAAAAGTGCCAAAGCATATTATGGAAGATAATCATGTATTGGGGAATCAAGTTCTTTTCCTTTCATTTCTTTCCTCCAAAGTAGAACCTAGAATTTTCTTCTTCTAGGTATATTCTCTACTATTATCCACCCTGTCCACTAAACTCTTCCTTTCTTGGGCTTATATATTCCTTTTGTGTTCAATACTAAACTATTTGAGTCCCTTCTGTCCTTTCCCTTCTGGCCTCCTCAATTGTTATCCTTCAATATGGTAAGCAAGTATTTGTCTTAATTCTTAGATTGATAGACATTTTTGAACAATTAGTATTTTAGTGATTTGATTGAACTTGAGAGTGAATCATCTTTTGCAGAGTTTAGAGAATCATGGAAAACAGATCATTTCAGTTGGGCCATGGGGAGGTGACAATGGATTGCACTGGGATGATGGAGTTTATTCCACCATAAGGCAACTGGAAATAGCTCATGGAACAGGAGTTGATTCTCTTAAGGTTGAATATGACAAAAATGGAACCTCAGTGTGGTCAGAGAAGCATGGTGGCAGTGGAGGTGCTAAAACTGACAAGGTTGATGTTAGCGCAGTTTTGTGAAACTTTCTATTTACTGAATTGGTGTGAGCTTCATATTAAGTTGTTTTATTAAAGACTATTGGATGTTCTTCTTGTGCTATTCTTGCAGGTAAGACTTAATTATCCAGATGAGTTTCTAACTTGTCTGCATGGATATTATGGTAGCTTACACGAAAGGGGGTCAGTTTTTGTGCGATCACTTACATTCCAAAGCAATAAAAGAACATATGGACCATATGGTGTCCAGCAAGGAACATATTTCACTCTTCCAATTTCTAGAGGAAAAGTTGTTGGCTTCCATGGAAAATCTGGCTGGTATCTTGATGCTATTGGAGTATACGTAGAGCCTATTCATAAATCTTTGCCGACTAATTCTCTAGTTCAATCTCAGCAACACCATTCTATCGTTCATTCCCAACAAAGTGTTGTCCAAGGGTTTGAGAATTATGAATACTCAATGATACAAGGAAGTCTCGGTAAAAATTTTGATCTAATTGTTGCAGTTAGACACAAAGACGAGAACAGTAACATTTTACCTCCAACCACACTTTCAAGACAAACTTCTGGTTCTGATCATGATTCCGGTTCAACTGGACCAAATAAAAAGGTATGATAAAAGCTGCTAATTTTCTGTCCGTCCAACCATTTTCCGGATTCTGCATATTCTAAAATGCAATATATATGTTTCAGGTGGCAACTATTGAGAAAGTCCCGTCGAAAAGTGTCAAGGGTGTTGTCACATATTGTCCTTGGGGTGGAAGTGGGGGGAGTGTTTTTGATGATGGAATCTATGATGGTGTTAGGCAGATTTACTTGTCACGCAATGTGGGAATCGTTTCGATAAGAGCTTGCTATGACAAAAATGGAGAACCAGTTTGGGGAAACAAAAATGGTGGTACTGGTGGATTTAAAACTGAGAGGGTAATGTTGTGAGTCCTGTTATTATAGAATTAAATTCAGGCTTTTCCTTATTTCTAATTCATACCTATCCGTCGGTTTTGCAGATAATATTTGATTATCCATCAGAGATTTTGACACACATCACAGGCTACTATGGACCAGCCATGATTATGGGTCCTAACATTATTCAATCACTAACTTTTCATACCACAAAAGGCAAACATGGACCTTATGGAGAAGAACAAGGGCAACAATTTTCAACCAAATTGAAAGAAGGGATTATTGTTGGATTTCATGGGAGAAAAGGATTGTTTCTTGATGCACTTGGTGTTCATGTGTTGGAAGGAAAAGTTGTTCCATGTTTACCCCCTTCCCCGGCCCCCAACTCCATCAAACCAGGTGCAGCGTCTGTCCCATCTTTACCTGCCCCAGCTCCCCCCAAATCCATCAAACCAGATGCAGCAACTGTCCCATCTTTACCTGCACCGGCTCCCCCCAAATCCGTCAAACCAAAAGCAGCATTTGTCACTGAGGTTGATGATAGACCACAGTGGTCTTTTAAACTGGGAAAGAAAGGACTCACTGAGGAGGTATTAAATTATGTCCCCTGATATTTGCTAACACAATTAACTACTACTCCATCTGTTTTATTTAATATGATGGTGGTTGGATATGGATTTTGAAAAAGAAAGATTTTTGACACATAAGCTAAATGTACATAACATACCAACAGTACCCTTAGGATCTTGTGGTCTTCAACATATCGTGTCATTCCTATAAGAGTACGTTATTTAAGTGTAGAATTGAGATGTTAAATTAAAGAGTTTCTAACTTTAGAAATGTTTCAATTTTTTTGGAACAGACTAAAAAGGAAAAGGGACAGATAAAATGGATCGGAGTGAGTAACACACATGCCTGGACAATGCTGCCCCTCTTTGCACATAGAAAAGGGAAAATGAAAAAACTAATACTAAAGTGACTGTTTTTAATGTTTTTGGTTGAATATCAGGGAGTGCAAAGGATAGTGAAAGATCCAGCACCATATGGACCTGGTCCATGGGGTGGAGATGGTGGGAAGCCATGGGATGATGGAGTTTTCACTGGGATCAAACAGATAATCCTAACACAATCATCAGAAGGCATTTGCTGTATCGAAATTGAGTACGATCGAAATGGACAATCTGTTTGGTCAGTAAAACATGGTGCAAATGCTGGGAAATGCACAAATAGGGTACACAATCACTTACTTCTCAGTCTGAATGACTTAACTCACCAGTTGGAATAAGAATAGGCTAATATTTTGCAGGTAAAGTTAGAGTATCCTCATGAAGTACTAACTTGCATCACTGGATTCTATGGTCCTATAAGCAAAGATATGGGGTTGAAAGTGATAAAATCACTGACTTTTCACACCACTAGAAGGAAGTTTGGTCCCTTTGGGGAGGAACTAGGAACATATTTCACTTCAGCAACAACAGAAGGTAAAGTGGTAGGATTTCATGGGAGGAGTGGAATGTATTTGGATGCAATTGGAGTGCATATGCAACACTGGTTAGGCAATCAGAAAACCTCCAAGCATTCTCTTATGAAGATGTTCCATTGATATATTTTCTGTTTTGAATAAAGAAAAGTCCAAAATAGAACAGAATCAATAAGTTTTGTGTGGAAAACATCTTATTGTTTTGGCTTTTGTGTTTGGGTGAGCATAAATGAAGTTCTATTGTAATAATATTCGCATTATTTATATTTCTGGTGCCTTCATCAGCTTGCTCTATCCTATATATTTGGATTTTGAAGAAAGAACTTTTACATGATTTGAACTTTGAACATGAGGAGGAAGTTGTAGTTTAGTGGTTGCAAATTCACCTTGGACCATTTGGGACACAGTTTTATTTCAATTAAAAGTTTACCCATTTTCATTCAAAAAGCGACAGTAATAAACAGAATATGACTGTTCCACATCTATAAATTTACGACGTGACACCATATTTCTAGAGCTTTACTTTTAGCTTTCTTTTCATGTTATGTTGGTTTTAGACTTTAGTTTGATGATAAAGTTAGAACATTAAATTGAATTTTGTTAAGAATGAACGTTTAGACTATAGTTCAATTAAGTGCAATCCTATTAAAGTTTTACGCGTATACGTGATAATAGAAAATGAAATAAGTAATTAGTTGTATTGAAACATATTATTCATCCTACTGGTCTATTACCGCAATTTTTTGTCATGGTCGTCTAACCGTTTTTCTAAATACTTTTACATATAAAAAGTTATTTTATTTTTATATAGTTTCTAAGTATATACACTGTATATCAAAGAAATTAATAATTGTCTAAATTCCTGAGAAAAAGAAGATGATTTGACTTTGATCTACGAATTCCAAAATACTAGTACTTGTTAGGAAAAAGAAAGCTACTGTGAACTTAATAAACATAAAAAAGATCAAGGCTCTTAGAAGTTGTTTGTTTATAGTCAAAAATAATTGAGTGAAAATCGTTTAATTGAGTGAAAATATTTAAGCACCTTTTTCAAGAAAATAACTTTCAACAAAGCTTTTTAAAAATTGAAACGGATTGAGTAACAAGTAATAAATCTAAGGTAATTTTGTTTGTAACGCTGGTGTACGAACCCAATCCTTTTATATCAATCATTGAATTAATAAGCCAACCTCAGAACAAAACTAGTTAAAATCAATTATAAGAATCCTCTATATATATCTGTTCGTAATTTTGTTAATATGTGTCATGTACTCTGTTATAATGGTTGGACTCTCTCTTTTTCTGAAAACGTGATGTAAAAATAGGTACAGAAACTGTTCAAACCCTATAACATGGCTGACACAATAACCATCAATTGGTTCATTGGAGCAGGTAGAAATTGAAACCAGAAACACTTGCAAAAATAGGCTCCAGTCAAACATATATAGAGGATTTGGTAGCAGAGGAGTAGTTGATTTGTTCATGGAAACTCTCTATATAAATTTGCACAAAAACTTGTGTTTCTTAAGAGTCAATCACCCAATGGCTTCTCTCAAACTTGTTTTTACACTTGCTATAATGATGTCTTTTCTCTCCTCTGCCATGTCCCAAGCTCTTTCCAGCTGGGGTGGTGGTCTTTTTCCAGAATTTTACCAGTTGTCGTGCCCACAAGCGAACGAGATAGTCATGTCTGTTTTGGAAGAGGCTATTGCTAAAGATCCAAGAATGGCTGCTTCTTTGCTTAGACTTCACTTTCATGACTGCTTTGTCCAGGTACATACATATATACTTTTAATATCACACAAGTTTATCACATATGCATTGTCAAAAGTTAATTTCTGTTTCACCCAGAAATTCTTCTTTTGTTATGTTATAGGGCTGTGATGCATCAATATTACTAGACAAGACTAGTGCATTCAAAAGTGAAAAAGATGCAGGACCAAACAAGAATTCCATCAGGGGATTTGAAGTGATTGATCAGATCAAAGCTAGACTTGAGCAAGTTTGCCCTCACACTGTCTCCTGTGCAGACATTCTAGCCCTTGCTGCTCGCGACTCCACTGTTCTAGTAAGCAGTCACCTTTTCCTTTTATTAAAATGGGAATATTATTAATAAAGTACAAGCTAAGTGAATTTTGCTAAACAGAGTGGAGGACCACATTGGGAAGTGCCACTAGGAAGAAGAGACTCAAAGATAGCAAACCTCAAGAAAGCAAACACAAACATTCCTGCACCAAATTCCACCATCCAAAACCTCATAACACTTTTCGCGCGACAAGGCCTTAGTGAAGAAGATCTTGTTGCTCTTTCTGGTGCAAAAATCTAATCCTGCAATGATTTTTACCTTTGTATGAGATCGATAATGCTAAAAGTTTTGATTTTTCATCATGTAATAGGAGCGCACACCATAGGGATGGCAAGATGTGTATCATTTAGGCAAAGGCTATACAATCAAAATGGTGACAACTTGCCAGATGCAACACTTGAGAAAACTTACTACACTCGTTTAAAAACAGCTTGTCCCAGAAGAGGGAGAGACAATAACATTTCCCCTCTAGATTTCACATCACCAGTCAGATTTGACAATACATATTTCAAGCTGTTGCTGTGGGGCAAAGGACTTTTGAACTCAGATCAAGTGCTACTGACTGGGAAAGTAAAAAAGACCAAGGAATTAGTGAAGAGCTATGCTGAAAATGAGGCACTTTTCTTCCATCATTTTGCAAAGTCAATGGTCAAAATGGGGAACATCACTCCACTTACTGGATTGAAGGGTGACATTAGGAAGAATTGTCGCAGACTTAACTAAATATCTGTTTATCTAACAACTACTATATGGATTGATCATGTTTGCTTTAATTTCTGCTCAAAACAACAACAATTGATTAGAACAATTCCTGTGAATTATTAAAGTTTCTACAAACTAAAGTAAAGTAATGTTCAAAATTTTAAAACTATAGCCTATTCCAAGCAATGTTAATCAGAAAGGTGTTACTGCGAATTTTTTCACTGCCAACGATTGTCAATAATAAAAAATCATAGACTCGATCCTCCATCTTTCACATTTTTCAAACTACATTTACTTAAAGAGGAGGAGGAATGATCATCATTGAATGTCATTGATGGACATCAAACATGAAACGATTAATTCAGAACCAAGGCATGACACTAATGGAATTTGCTTATAAAAGGACAATTTCAAAGCTATGAGTTCATAATTTGAATTTATTTCCATAAGTAGAAATTAATAATATAAGCATTCACTATAAATTGATTAAATTTATGTTGGCAAACTTATATCTGAGAGCATACACACTTACACAGGCGACAAGGTTGGAAATTATAATTTGTCATTTTAACTAATTGAAAAAGAAAAAGCAAAATCAAATTCAGGACGCTTCTGAGGACGTCGTTTCTTTATATGGTTGCAAGAGTTTCTTGTTTCTTGTTCAGCACTCCTTGAGCTAAAGATTTCAGAAGTAAATTGTTCAGTAAATTATTCAGCTTTTCACCGACTCTCAGATTCCGGCAATGAGCGAAGGAGAAGACGTGGTGCGACGCCGCAACGCGGTGGCAGAATACCGGAGAAAGCTTCTCCAGCACAAAGAACTCGAATCCAGAATCCGAACCGGTCCGTCTTTCCTCCAATGCCCAATTTCTATACCCTAATTCAATCCTATGTGCAAAAATTAATTTTTTGCTTCTTCTCGAATTTATGAAATTAATGTAGTCAGGGAGAATTTAAGAGCATCAAAGAAAGAATACAACAAAACAGAGGATGATTTGAAGTCGCTTCAGAGCGTTGGACAGATTATCGGCGAAGTTCTTCGCTCTCTCGACCAAGAACGAAGTAACTTACTATCTTTCTACAAGCTTCTTCTTATTGTTACTATTAACTTTCAGACTTTTAATAAATCTTTTTGATGAATTATGATAAATTCATATAGCTGATCTCAACTATTTTAAGATTAAGATGTAGTTGATTGATTGATTTATAAATAGTTTTGATGCATTCACGTGTTGCCTTTCCTTATTGGTGAAAGTTGAATTTTGCATATTCAGGTGTTGCTGAATAGTTAAAGCATCACGATAAGAGTAGGCAAGCTTTTCTGTAGATTAAATAAGGTTTCAATTTTTAGTTCAAGTGTATTTTAGTTCAAGTTTCAATGCATTAGATGGTTGCTTTCATTTCCTGCTGCGTTAAATAGTAATTGACCATCCTATCAATCAATCAATCAACTTTGCCTCAATCTTAAACTAGTTTGGGTTAGCTGTATGAATACGTTGTCTCTGTTTTGCTCTGTCCAATACACAAAAAGTCTCGTCTTTTAAGGCATATTTGGGGTTCTCTAATATTAGATGGTATCGAGATCTCACAAGTGGTTTGAAAATTCATATGATTGAGCTGGTATGAGCATATAGCTGATTATAGCTGCTTTGACAGTGTTCTTTTTGTTGTTTACCTTTCCCTTTCGTTTTCTTTTTCCCGGGAGAGTATAGTTATATCAAGTTGTCTTACTTAAGTATATTATCTTCATGGAAGTTGTAAAAGCAACCGATTCTTGGAACACTTTGTGCCTATGGAAATTCATTAGAAGAAGAATGTGTTATATAGTGTTCTATATGGGCACTTCTTTGCTGTAGATGGGGATGCAATTGCCTTTATGACATAACTTTAGATTCAGAAACATCTGTTTGCTTTTGTTGTATTCCTTCATTGTAGAAGAAAGCAGTGACCATAGTTACACAGCTAATAACGACTTACCATGTGTTTTATTTTAGTGATTGTAAAAGCAAGCAGTGGCCCCAGGTATGTTGTTGGGTACCGTAATAAACTTGACAAGGAAACACTGACCTCTGGAACAAGAGTGGTTCTTGACATGACAACTCTCACAATCATGCGTGCCCTCCCGCGTGAGGTATGTTTCCTCTTTCCTCTGGTCTCTTCAATGAAAACGTTAATGGAAAGGCTGGAATGTTTAATGGTTGAGATCTCCTTGGAGGGGAGTAATTGGTTTGATGAAACTCTACCGAGATACTTCTTCATCAATGCTTAATATTTCATGCTCTTCTTGTAAAGGTTGATCCAGTTGTTTATAACATGCTCCATGAAGATCCGGGAAATATTAGTTACTCTGCTGTAGGTGGTTTGTCAGATCAAATTCGTGAACTTAGGGAATCCATTGAGCTACCTCTTATGAATCCTGAGCTGTTCCTCAGAGTTGGAATCAAACCTCCCAAGGTCATACTGACCCTTCCCTCTCTCTTTTATCCTTATGCATGTGCATTTTAAAAATGTCTATCAGAAAATGAATGATATGTTAACATCTGAAGTATAGAATTGATTTGTAAACATCATAAAATGTTTCAGGGTGTTCTGCTCTACGGCCCCCCTGGTACTGGCAAGACTTTGTTAGCTAGAGCCATTGCTAGTAATATTGATGCCAACTTTTTGAAGGTTGGTGCATAATAATCTGTTCATGTTGCTTTTGGTTTTATTAATGTCTTGCTTTAGATAAGAGAAAAGGACATGATTCATTACATTCCATGCTTATCGCTTTGTAGATCGTATCTAGTGCCATTATTGATAAGTATATTGGTGAAAGTGCAAGATTGATAAGGGAGATGTTCAATTATGCACGCGATCATCAGGTAAGGAACTTTATCTTGCAGAATTTTTATTGTACTTTAGATGCAAAAGTTTTATTGTACTTTTGCGTTATTCTCTGCTTATCATTTGTTTCCTTTTTAGCCCTGCATAATCTTTATGGATGAGATTGATGCAATCGGTGGACGACGTTTTAGTGAGGGAACAAGTGCTGACCGGGAAATTCAAAGAACACTGATGGAGTTACTCAATCAGCTTGATGGGTTTGATCAGCTTGGCAAGGTATCTATTTGCTTGATTTTGTGTAACATTGCCAAAGACTCTTGGATAAGAAAATTTGGGAATATCTGCCCACAATTATAGTATTGCTCTTTTCTAGCCATGGTTTACGTGTCAGTTTATGTGGGTTCTTGCTAAATAGATGTATCTTTGACTATAGCAATCCTCTGTTGCAGGTAAAAATGATTATGGCAACAAACCGGCCTGATGTTCTTGATCCTGCACTTCTTCGTCCGGGTCGTCTAGACAGGAAGATAGAAATACCATTGCCAAATGAGCAGTCGAGGATGGATATTCTCAAAATTCATGCTGCTGGAATTGCAAAACATGGTGAGATTGATTATGAAGCTGTCGTTAAGCTCGCAGAGGTGAGTCCTGGAACTTCTCTGTTATCAGTTTGTTTATGAACATCACTTCCATAAATTTAGCTGCTTTTTTTCATTTTAGGGCTTCAATGGAGCTGACCTCCGTAATGTATGTACTGAGGCTGGCATGTCAGCTATTCGTGCAGAAAGAGATTATGTTATACATGAAGATTTTATGAAGGTAAATTATGTTATACAACTACAGGTTTATTATCAACAATTTCTTGCTGTTCACTTCTCTCTGAAGCTTTGTCAGCTTGTATGTGATAATTATTATTTCCTTAAACTTCTTAGGCTGTTCGTAAACTGAATGAAGCAAAGAAACTTGAATCAAGTGCACATTACAGTGCTGATTTTGGAAAAGACTAGGATGGATGTCTATTAGTCTCAAAAGGCATTAATATTTGGATGTGCACCTTCCCTTTGCAATACTTGCTCGATATTTTCGTCTGATGTTTCTGTGTGTGCGGAATGTGCTATTCAATGCCATCTAGCACGGAATGACTCAGGCGCCAAAGTTCTCCTGTCTAGTCTGTGCTGCATCAGTTTCACTTTTTTTTCCCCCTTCCCTTCTGCTGAACTGTCAATGGTAATGAAGTTAACAGAATTTTATGGAAGTTCTTCAATCTCTACTGTGTAATATGCTTTTTTGTTTGCTTTTGATGTGGGTGATTGTTCCCTGCATGCATATGGCGTGAGATGGAGGCGAACAAGCCAGGAATCTTGAATGTGCATCCAAATCAAGTTGGAGGGATGAAGATAGTGAAAGTACTTCAAGGCGTATTAAAGTTGGGCAGGAGGTTACACATCAATGCTAAATACTTATTGGCACAAAAAAAATTTTAGTTGCTGGGTAATGAAAATTGAAATATCTGTCAAGGGACAGTTGTAGGTTTAGTACTCCCAAATGCTTACTACCTCTGCCCTGTATTATTCCAAGGTTTTTGCACACCCCATAAGAAAGTAATTTTATAGTCTTAATCATAGTAGTATTTGCCTAATTTCTCCTTGAGCATATCCTTTAAGTAACATCCCAACAACAAAAAAAATGTCTTTCTTGTTTTTTTCTTTTTGAAGAAAAAAGGTCAAATATTTTAAAACAAATTCGTTTGACAGACAACTAATACTTGGGAGCAGCAGGAGTATTTGGTGTATCAGCATCCCCGCAATCTTGTAATACCGTTGTCATGGTTATAAAGCGTATGAAGTTTGTCTCTAACTTCATTAAGCAAAGTGTTGCTATAAGGCAACCCCAACTTGTTCATTCATTTGAGCTGATACAAGCAACTAGACTAACTTGGGACTGGCATAACGAGTTTATTAACTATTTGCAGAAGGGAGCATTGCCTGAACACAAAAAGGCAGCCCGACAACTCAGTATTCGAGCAGCAAGATCATCATTTTGGTTGACCTAACCACTAACTTGTGTTAATTATCTAATCCAACTGGGATGGGCAAGCTACGTTTTGTTTCAATTTTAATTTAGAATATTTCGGTCCAATCAATCGTCTCGAAAGCAAACCCTATGACAAAACAAATATTTCTAAAGATAATGCGACTTTAACCAAGTCTCTTTACTTTGATACCCACCAAACTACGCATGTACGTTGATGAAGAGTCATTGCCTCAATCACACCCCATCTATTCAATACAACAAAGTACTCTCTCCCGTCCACAATAAAAGTGAATTTTTGGTTGTTTTCACACATATTAAAAAATTCACATTTTAACATTAATTAGCAATAAAATTGACCGTATTAACATTTATTATCTCTTCACATAAACACTCCTAACACATACTCCAACACTATTTACTCCAAGGGTACTGTAGAAAAAAAAATTCATTCTTGAAATCTTGAAAAAACACTTATTTTGGACCACAAAAAAAAGCTAAAAATCACTTATTGTGGACCAAAGGGAGTATGAGAGATTACGACCTTACGATTTTTAGTTAGAAGGAAATTAAGTAAAGGACCATGAGGTCACTGGTTGAAGGATTTCACAATCACGATTACCTAACTAGGGTTGTGCATGGATCGGATCGGATTTAGCACATTTCAGATTGAAATTTCGGATTTCGGATTCTACAAAATGGAATCCGAATCCGATCCGAATTAATATCGGATCGGATAAATATTTCGGATTTTTGGGATTGAATTGTACGTATTATTAAGGCTATTGCTAATCTAATCGTCTAATGCATTTGCTTTATCTGCTTCTTCTATGTTTTATGCCTTTTAAGTTGCAAAACTCATACTCAAACTGAAGACCACAATGGCACACACCATACTCCTTCTCTTTTATCCTTTTTTGCGTTTTCCATTCGTGGTATTGGTAGTAATAGCAAAAAGATTTTTCTTGTAAATCCCCCAACTCTAACGTGGATGGCTTGTCTTTGACCAAATCAGATTTGGTGTAGAAAAGTTAATACGAGGACATCAATTGCTAATCTAGCAAAAAAGGTACAAAGAAAAAGGCCAAAAACGGTAGTAGCAGTAAATTGTGCAGGAAACATAGTTCATCTCCGACCAAACTTAAATCTGATGAGAGGCAACACAGTAAAAATATCAGCCCTAATCCACAGAAGAAAAGGAAAGGTGCAAATCCCAATTCTTGTGGTAGAATCCATTACATAAACAAAACACAATATTCATAGCAAAATAAAATTAACTTAAATCCCAAATAGATGTCTAATAAACTGAAATCCTCAACAGGAATTCATTAACAGATTACACAAAAGAGTTTCAAGTTCCAACTTCTATGGCCATCCCACTCAATCCTGGCCCGCTTTCAAGTTCAGCAACACTGCACTTGTCAAAAACGAGAGGATTAGTACTCCAGTGAAAATATTCATAAGATATTATAAACTCCAGAGGATTAGTAATTCAGTGAAAGCATTCATAATCTGAAAGCTGAAATAGCAAAAAAGTTAAGACATCAACTAAATGATTAATTTCACACTTGGATATCTGTGGAGCAATGACACAAAGTTTTTTCAGATCAATCAATGTTCCTAAGTATCTGTAATAAAACCATCTAGTTCTACAAATAGTAATGAAGTTTTGCTTATAAACAGAATACACACAATTTTTCAAAGACAATTAATATAAAAGCAGAACAGCACATAAATTGAACATAGTAATGACAATCAATAGTAATGAAGTCTTCGACTTTGCTTATAAACAGAACAGAACATTATAAACACTACAGATCTTTTCTTATAAACAGAATAGAACAGAACATCAATAGTAATGAAGTCTTCAAAGACATAATAATTTTGAATTTTGGATCGGATCGGGTTAAAATTATACCAATCTGAATCCGATCCGAATATCCGAAATTTTAATAAACATAATCCGAAATCCGATCCAAATATCCGAAATCCAAAATTGAACGGATCGGTTCAAATTTCGAATATCCGATCCAAATGCACAGCCAAATACCTAACTCGATGGAGATTAATTGGACTCTTCTTCGATATTACAGAATATCATGATGAATATGCCATTTAAGTTGGCACGGTATGATTGGTCATTGAGTAGCAATAATATGAGAAGATTTAAAAATTAGATAAATCACGTGTGACCAGATTTAAAGTAAAATTTCTTGGCTCATATTCTTTTTCTTTTTTCCCGTTAAACTGATGAAACCTTAATTAACTTCAAAGATGAAACCTGAAGGTATCAAACTAGTTGTATAATTTCTTCTTGTTAGATGTATTTAGTGTTTGTGCCAAAGCCCATAAATTTATTAAGGTCAAGCGATAGATTAAGGTAAAATTATATTAATTAGTTATGGTTAAGTGATAAAAGTGAATGTAAATCACACTCGTCATATTCATTGGTTACAGAAAAAAATATATATATTTATTGATTTGATGTATATCTAAAGTAGTTCAGGATAATACGATCTTGTAAAAAACCTTCCAAACCCAATGTGTGTGAATTATATTGTATATCTGTGACAGTCACTCCATAATAATGATGTTATAGCACAGAAAGGCTTAATTGTTGTATGAGGTAAAATGAACGAATGCCAGGTGGTCGTTCGTTGAATTGTCACGTGACAGTAAAGATAGGTAGGATATGAGTCAACGAATAGCTGACACAGGGTACAAGTATATGACCGATATTGTATGAGTTTCGAACACATCAAAACCGGAGGGGAGAATTTAAAAGCAAGGTACCCGTTAAAGAGGGCAGCATTAAAGGAGCATCTATTACCGAGAATTCTAGCATTTACACTCAACCGTTATGCAATTATCAAGAGGGGGTTTTATTCACCTTAAAGAGGAACTTGATTTGGGGATCTTATATCCCCTAATTTAGCTATAAATTGCGAAATTTGTAGTCATTGAAGGGGACAAAAGACTTGCATAAAAAAAAGACTAATATTACTCTCTTATTCTGCTAAAAAATTGTTCTACTAGAATTTAACTCTTGATATTGTTCTTGTTTCCGGAGAAGTTCAATTTAAGTCACAAGCTTGTCTTTTCTTTAATTATTCTTATTTTATTCAATTTTGTTTTTCATTACTTTATATTCTCGAATCAATTTAATTCACATGCCTATAAACCATGTTATAAATTTAACTGTACTATTTTACGGGTAAATAATTTGGTGCTCGCCGTGGGGTATAAATAATTGTGGTATTACTTTGATCCATTCATCTTTTACTAACGTACTTTGAAGTTTTTCTTTAGTGAGCAAAAAACAGATATGGCACCTAATGATGTGAACAAGTCACTCAATGTTGGGACAAACAATGAGCATGAGGATAATTTCAGTGATGGAGATCAACGGGATGATTCGACCAGTGAAACTCGTATCCATGAAAATGAGACAACTCTGGTCCGAGAAGAACGAAATACTCGGCGTGCGAGGAGTCCTGCCCTAGATGATATGGATGACGAACCCGTTGTCAAGACGGTGAAAGTTTTGAGAGATCTGCAAAGGAAAATCATGAATCATCTCTCAAGACATGAACGAATAATGACGGAGATCCAGCAAGCACTATCGATTGTCTCTAATAATTTCAACGGAGGAGTTCGAGCCCCTCCCAGCGCACCTGCAAATCAGATAGCACAAAAAACTGGTAACATCATTTCAAGGGGGAGTTCAGATCTAATGACAATCAAGCGGATGGTGCAGGCAACGGATCGGGGAATGGAAAACACACAGATGATCCTTTTAAAATCGAGCTCAAGAGATTCATGAGGGAAATGAATGATCAGATGTATCAAAATGCTAAGGAGTTTTATGCTCGGATGGATCAGATCCTGAGGGCACCTCTAGTCCTAAAGGACTCAGATTCAAAGAAATATACTTAGTTGCCATTCAAACCTAGTGGGGCCCCGGAGTTGATTCCAAAAATATTCAAGATGGAGGATGTTCTCAACTGCTGGATGAACCCAATAGGTGGTTGAAATGAGAGAAAAGGAAGTTTAGTAAGAGGAGAATTTCCTTTAACACAGTTGTAATGACTCGTCCGATCGTTTTGAGTATTACAACCTTGTTACCCTATTTACTGCTCAATTTGTACTTTACAGTTATTGTGTGACTTGGCAGGGTAATTGGTTCGGGTCCGGTGAGGTTTTGGAATGAATTGGAACACTTAGTTCCAAGGTTTAAAGCTTAAGTTCAAATAGTAATCAGATGTCGACTTATGTGTAAACAACCTCAGAATGGAGTTTTGATAATTCCAATAGCTCTGTATGGTGATTTTGGACTTAGGAGTGTGTCCGAAAATTTTCTTTGAAGTCCGTAGTGAAATTTGGCTTGAAATGGTGAAAGTTAATTTTTTGGAAAGTTTGACCGGGGAGTTGACTTTTTGATATCAGGATCGGAATTCAGTTCTAAAAATTTTTATAGATTCGTTATGTCATTTATGACTTGTGTGCAAAATTTGAGTTCAATCGGAATTGATTTGATAGGTTTCGGCATCGAATGTAGAAGTTGGAAATTCTTAAGTTTCTTAAGCTTGAATTGGGGTATGATTCGTGGTTTTAGCATTGTTTTATGGGATTTGAGGTTTTAACTAAGTTCGTATGATATTTTAGGACTTGTTGGTGTATTTGGTTGAGGTCCCGAGGGCCTCGGATGAGTTTCGGATGGTTAACGGATCAAGAATTGAAATTGGAAGACTGCTGAAGTTGAGTTTGCTGGTTTTTGGCTGATCTGGTTTCCTTCATCTGTCAAAAATTGAGGTAAAAAAAATTAAGGTAAAAAATCGAGGTCAAAATCGAGGTGTGAAAATCGAGGTCAGGAAATCGAGATCAGGAAATCGAAGTCAGGAAATCGAGGTCATGAAATCGAGGGTAGGAAATCGAGGGCAGCGCCCTGGACAAAGATTTTAAGTTATAAAACGGGGGTTTCGTCCCATTTTCCATTTTTAACAATTTGGAGTGAGGCGATTTTTGAAAGATTTTCAAGGAAAAATATTGGGGTAAGTGATTCTAACTCGGATTTGATCAATATACATGAATATATCATTATTTTCATAATTTAATTAGTGTTTTGAGATGGAAATTTGGAGAAAATTGTAAAAATCTCATAAAATAAATTTTTGAGATTTTGATATCGATTCGGAGTCGAATTTGAGTGAAACTAGTATAGTTGGACTCGTAATTGAATGAGTTATCGGATTTTGTGAGTTTTATCGGATTCCGAGATGTGGGCCCTGCGGGCAATTTTTGGGTTAAAATTCGGATTTTGTTAGAAAATTTGTATTTTCTTATGGAATTTATTCCTATAATTTGTATTGATTGAATCAAATTAATTATGATTAGATTCGAGCCGATCGAAGTCGGAAAATCGAGGAAAAGGCATACTACTTGATTGATTGAGCGTGGTTTGAGGTAAGTGACTTGTCTAACCTTGTGTGGGGGAAATTCTCCTTAGGATTGGTATTGATATGAAAATGTTGATGTATTAAAAGTCGTGTACACGAGGCGATGATTGTGTATACGGGCTAAATGTGGAAGATTATATCTTTAAATTGTGTAGAGCACTGTTGCATATTAATTAAATTATTTTATTCTATTATATTCATCATCCTTAATATATTTTCGTATCTTAAATTTGTCTGACCTGTTCCTGCTAAGTGTGTTACCTGTTTAGTTGAAACTCTGCTTCTTTTGTTCTGTGCATTATTTGAAGGATGAATTTCTTAAATTTAGATATTATTTTTTTTTTTAAATGAAGTATTTTACATTAAAAATTTTGATATTTAGAAAAGGTGTTAAATTTGTGAAATATTATTTTTGCTGAATATTTTATGAGATTTTTGTACTCATTATGATTGAGTCATGAGCTCTTTATTGTGAAAAAATATTATTGTTGTTGATTTATTTTGGCATGAGCAGTGAGCTCTTTATTGTGAAAAAAATTATTGTTGTTGATTTATTTTGGCATGAACCGTGAGCTCTTTATTGTGGAAAAATATTATTGTTGATTTATTTTGGTAAGTTAAAATATTTGGGTACTTGAGGTGCAAATTATGATATATTGTGATATTGATACGCATGCGGTGGTATAAGGTCTGGGTGTTGAAACGCATGCGGTGAGATAAGGGTGGCTTGATACGCGTGGCTAGTAGGGGAACTACTAGAAGTCATGCAGTGTGATAAGGGTGGCTAAAACGTGGGATGCATTTCGGAAAAAATATTTTCTTTAAAATCTAAAGTGAAGTCTCCCGCTGTGATATAAGGAAATGAGATATTATGAATTTATTTATGATTTGGGACTACGAGGCGGTACCTTTGGAGTGCCCTTGTTGATATTTCTTTATGGCTGCATTGTCTTTGGTTATTTTTGGTATTTTTCTTAAAGTTGTAAATTTCTGTTTTCCTTTCGCGAGCTGTTAATTGCCCTTATACTGTGTAGTAAAATTGTGACATAATACTTACATGATTTATCCCTATTTTTATTATTATTATTATTATTATTATTATTATTATTATTATATTGTTAAACTTTTCTCCCTGTATTTTATTATTTCAGTAGGACCTGACCTGACCTCGTCACTACTCTACCGAGATTAGGCTTGGCACTTACTGGGTACCGCTGTGGTGTACTTGATGTCGCTCAAATTCACACCACTGATTGGGATTGTGAAGCGGTCGATGCAATTATAATTATCCAACTTTGAGTCGGGGTCGATTCCTTAGAGAGCTTATATTGGATTAGTATATACTTAGACTAGGTGTATGACGTGCCTAAAATACACTTCCACATACTTGGTTGTTTCTTTCTACTTCTAAAGTTTATACTATTATTTGTAAATATAAAGCTATAGAACGATATTTTAGGTGCTGTTGTTTTTCAAGTTTATAAAAAATCTAGGGCTGTGACTTCCACCTAGGTGGTTACCTAACGGGTTGGGGGCTTAGGGGCATATTTCGTTGGTCGGGGTATAATATAGCAATCAATACGCGATT